TGGTTGTAAATTGGGAGTGTGAGAATGGGAATTGGTATTCGACGGGAAAGATTGAACCGAGTGGATTTGGGCTGGGTTAGGAATGAAATTGGGCTTAGTGACCCGTGGTTTGTACCCAGGTGGGTACCCATGTAACTTAAAGCATTTGTCACGTGTGTGACCAGTAAGATTGCAAAAAGTGCATATAGCCTTGGGACGGCGTTGAACGGCAGCTGCCGTGGGAACAGAGGGCTGCGAAGAAGCAAATGAATTAAGGAGAGGAACCTCAGAAATCAACGGAGCTGGCAAAACAACGGAAAGCTGACGCTGACGTTCTTCTTGAAGAACCATGGAGAAGACCTTCGCAAGAGCAGGCAAAGGGTCCAGTAAGAGAATCTGACCACGTACAGAGGAGAAACTTTCATTGAGTCCAATGAGAAATTGCAGGATATGATCCTGTTCTCTACCAGTACCCACTTCACGAAGAGCACCACAAGTGCATGAAGGAAGAGGTAAGTAATCTTGTAATTCATCCCAAAGAGACTTCAATTTGGTGTAATAACCATTGACATCAAGAGAACCTTGACACAGGGAAGAGATTCGTTATTTAAGCTGAAAAATGTGTGGGCCATTTGCCTGAGAATAGCGAATCTTCAGATCGGACCAAACTTCATATCCAGTAGAAAAATAAAGGAGACTATCAGCAATCTCTTTGGTAACAGAGTTCAATATCCAGGATATAACCATGGAATTGCAACGATTCCATGAAGAAAAGAGAAGGTCCTGAGGAGGAGGACGTAAAATTGTACTGTCAACGAAGGCCAATTTGTTCTTCGCTGTTAACGCCAGAAGCATCGCACGGTGCCAAGAACTGAAATTCGAACCAGTTAAGTGATGTGAGACCAAAACCAATCCAGGATGATCTCCATTGTGTAAAAAAATAAGGACTCGATGAATCATCCATCGAAGAAGACGAACCAGAGGAATTGTCCGCTGGCGGAGGGCGATTTGTATTGTTACCACGAGCCATAGATTAAGGCTCAAAGAAAAAAATTCACTGATACCATATTAGCTTTCTGTGACTGAGAGAAAGAAAGCATACTAAAATGTAAAACTGCATATTTCATTGATTGAAAAAGGAAACGAAATTACAAGAGATATAGGCATTTGCATAACCGAAAGGTGCGTGAATCCAGCACCTTCTTCACACAGGCACCGCTCACCTCAAACAGAATAACAAACTAGCTTCTAGAAATCCAATTACAACAGAATGACAACTCAGCATCTAGAAAACTAATTACAATAAATGGAAAAGGTAAACAGAAAATACAGAAATATAAAATATATATGCTAATATGTATTTATCACCTCATGTATTTATCAGTAGCCTATTCCTTGTACCGACCACCAAGGAAGCACGAACACTTGTAAAAACAGGGAGAGTCGTGACCGACACGCTCCGACACGGCGATACGCTCCGACACGGTGTCAGACACGTGATCAACTTTTTCCGACACGTTGACCATTCCGACAAGCAAATTTGACCGTGTCTGACACGGTCAAATGGCATTTTCGTAATTTTTTTTAATTTTTTTTTTAAAAAAAATTAAAATATATTAATAAAGCTTCCACTTGATCATATCAATTTTATTTTTTTGTCTTTTTTTCCCTTAAATAGACAAGAGATCATCTCAGCATCATTGTTGTTAATTCCTATTACGCTCTTGTTGTATCTCCTTCTCTCTGATCTCTCTTTCTAATATGATTTGATCTCTCTATCTGATATTATATCTCTATCTCATCCCAGTTCTTATTTTTTTTATTAAAGCTTCCATCTTTATAACGTGTTGATGGGTATTATTAATTTAGTTTCATTTTTTTGTTAAATTATTAAATATTAAATGAAATATACACTATATAAATTTAAAAAATTATTTAATATTAAAATGTGTCTCAACGTGTCGAAATTCATAATTTTTTAAAATTGACGTGTCGGAGTGTCGTGTCGTGTCGTGTCACGTGTCGCGTGTCGTATCGGTGCTACATAGCCGACCACGTTCAAGTTGTACTGACAATTAGTCGGTTTATTTCTTTGAAGAATGGTTTTTTTTTTTTTTTTTTTTGGTACAATTGAAGAATGGTTTTTATAAAGGTTGACAATCATTTCAATTAGGCGATAGTCCAGTACAACAAATCAACCTGTGGCCCAATTCTTCCTCCAATTTTCCACTCTCACCTCTTCTTAACATCAAATACTCTCCCAAGTGCTTGGAACATCAAATATCAACTCAACAAATAAATCTACTAAAAATTCCATTGAATCAAAAGGCTCTTTGGTTTAAGAAATATTTTTATTAATAACTATAAAAATATTACCTTATTTTTTTTTTTTTCCTATTTTTAAAAAATTTATACTAGACATGATAAAATAACTAAATGTTATAAAGTATTATGTTCAATGCAAACATTTTTAAATAACTTTGTTTTGGTATCAAGCTTAAATAATTTTTACCTTAGATCGTTGAAAAGCCAAAATATGTGAAGTGTACCCAAAATTTGTATCTTCTCAAGGGAATTTCACTGATTCAGGGAATTTCACTGATTCACAGACAATGTAGCCTGAGCTAAGACATGTATGTAAACTGGTGTACAAAAACACAAGAAAGCTTATAAATTGATGTGGATCAATCAGAAAGGATATATATACTGTGGTCCAGTTGCCACTAAGACAATAGATCAATACCAAGCGTGAAGGAAACTATCTTTTATATAATGTTATAATTGATTAAAATTTTAAAAAAATTCTAGCCAGTACTGCATATATAGATATATAGCCTTGTTTACCAACTCAGCGTTAACAGAAAGTGATAGGCAAATCTCTAAAACTGTATGAACTAGGCTGAAGGATCTGGAGTGGTATCATATATATCCATCCACGTAAAGTCGAATGTGGTAGGTTTTTAACAGCTCAAGAGTGGACAAAATTTCCAGTTACAGATAATGCTGTCTGGTTCAATAGCAGTTTTAGAATTTGAGAGTGAGACTCATCACCACGATCTCAAGCCTACGTCATTTTCATTTTCAACGCATAACCCACGTCTCACGATTCTCTTTCTTTATCTCCTCTTTCAACCTTCCAAATCTCCTCACTCTCTTTTAGCAATACTTAAATACCCTGTTTCTCTCTCACACGCTGGTGGAATTTTCAATCTGTCTTACGGTTAATATTTCTATTCTATGCCAAGTAATTAAACTGGATCCTCCTGAGGCATAAGACCTGTTCAAATTGATTTGAAGGCATTGAGGCTTTGTCAGACGCTAATTATTGGCAATTATGAATTCTGATATTTTCATATGGATGAAGTCAATCCCTAGTAGAACATTGTTTCTATTTGTTGAGTATAAATAGAGCACTGATCCAACTTTTCCATTGAAGCATTTAAACTAGTGAAGCTTCCTTTACAATAACACTCTCTCTGATAGGCGTCCAAAGAACGAAAATGGAGGCTGCTGAGCAGTTTTCTGAAGAATGGAGAGTGTACACAGCTGAGGAAGCTGATTTTATGAAACCAGTTGCTCAGAGGGTCGAGGAATCGAAGTGTGAATGATTGAATAAAAAAAATTCATATTAATTAAGAATGGAATATGTGACACCATATAAATGTAAAGACCCATAAACTTACGACCTTAAAGTTTTTTGAGTTTGATTATGTCAAAGCAAAGAATGTGGACCTAGGGGACTCGTATTCAAAGCAAAGATGTTGCGGAAAAAATCTCACATTTTTTAAGGCCCAACAATATGTTAGAAATAATCAAGTGTGAATAGTGATGAGAAAACTTCATGTATCTAAATAATTATTATTTAAGATTTGGTGCCAAAAATAGAAATTATTAAATATTCATAATTACAACAACAAAATTTGCTTTCTGCAAACAAATCACCGTAGGAGTGTTTAGCTGCTCTTATAAGATTTGGTACCAAAAATAAAAATTATTAAATATTCATAATTACAAAAAAAAAAAAAAAAAACTTGCCTATTGCAAACAAATCACCATAGGTGTGTTTATCTGCTCCCCTAGCTCTTGTGTTTATTGAAATTAAGGCTTAGGTTTATAGATTATTATTTTTTTCACAATTTCTTGATGATTCTCTTTTTTTTTTTGGAGTTACCCAACCCTAATTATCTCTTTGAGACGAGTTGGCTCCCTCCGGTATCCCCACGAGCTTCGACTCTTTGAGCCGGCTATGGGACTAATCCGGAATGCGGGGAAACAGTGATGGCTAAAGGTTCAGCCCCCTCTCCAAGAATGCATTCAGCGGGAATCGAACACATATCCAACCTCACTAACTCAGCGCCAAGTTACCAACTGAGCTGCACCCATTGGGTGATGATTCTCTGATTACATATATTAAAAATAAATTATTTTGAATTTTAGTACAAATTTAATTATAGAAGAGTTTAAACATGTGAAAACACGTAATAGAGCAGAGCTTAAAAGTGAACTGACGTTGAATTTTGTAATAAAATTCTTTCAAGCTTTTTATATGAGATTCATATTTTATTGTATTTACTTTTGTTTATAATATAAAAAATTTATTTTCACCCAACCAAAAAATATTCTGGATCCGCCACTATCAACATTTATCCTCCAACTAATTGAGAATCTTATTTATTTTTTTATTTTCTAATTAAGGATTTCAAGTAATTTTCAACCAATTGAGAACATTTACATATTTCACCTTCCACTATTCCTGAAGAAAGTTCAAGAGAGGTGTAAGTCATTCAAACAAAAAATAAAAGACAAGCTTTACCTAATATATAACCACAATTTAATCTACAAACAAGGACAACCATCCCTTGTATTGATTATTACAGAGCAGAAAGTCTGTTTCATAAACCAAAAGACACTATGTCGGCTGTTCTGATGTATTTACTGCATAAATATGGTTAGTACCGCGTATTGGGGCAGTAGGGTTGTAAATCTAATATATGATAGAAATGACTAATGCATAGCAACTCACAAATAAAGTGGTAAAAAAGGGAAGAACAATTTACAGAGCAATAGGATAACATTAGGATGTTAACTGGCCTGTACTACAGCACGATAAGTTACAATCTAGTGCGTGGAACAAGACGTTTGGCAAACAGAAATCCTAAAACCTAGTGAAATACCTCAGTCTTCCTTTACAAGTATCCAAAATGATACATTCCCAACCAAAAAACGCACGCAGGAGGTAGGACAACATTCTAATTGTCAATCTTTTATTGTCCATACGATACAGTCTATTAAATTCATTTCTCAGAATTATAAATGGCTCAGAGGGGGCACGGGAAGAGCCACACCCACGCTGCACGCCATGATATCACAAGAGACTGACTTGTTTTACCTTTCATGCTCTTTGATCATCGACATGATTTGGAACTTCTGCTTGGCTGTCCAAGGGCATATATTGTGCCATGATTGCTCTGATTTCGGAATCCATGTATTGCTGCAAAACCACCAACAAAATTACCATTAAAATTTTACCCTATAAGACAATAAAGCAAATTACGAACGAAAATCACTTGTCTTTATTTGGGCAATTTTTCAGTTATACATATGTGGATTGTTGGAAGAGGGTGAGCCTGGAGCAGCAGTAAAGCTACTCCTTTGTGACGGAAAGATCACAAGTTCGAATCCAGGAAACAACCTTTTTGCATACAAAGGTAAGGTTGCATACACAGATTGCCCTCACCTCTACCCTCGCTAATCGAGGTTTAATGGGGAATGGTTTGTTACACATTTGGATTGATGGGCAACTCAGCACTCTATAATGCTATAGAGATTTAGCATCCAAGAACATAAACAAAATGAGAGAATGAAGCAGAGCTTACCCTTATTCTATATTTGTACACAAGGAATGCCCCACCAGCAGACATAACTAAGCCAATTAAAATGACCCAAAAAGCAGCCCAAGTAGATCTTCCCTGACTAGCAGTTTTACCTGTAGATTATGTTGGACATGGAAAAAAAAAACATTATAACAAGCATATGCAAATGTAGGTGCAAGTAAAACAAGTCTAGCGTATTCAACTCACTTATGCAGGTATCGTGGTCCTTAATATACAGAAGATTTCCACTACAACTGCACTCATAGCCTCCCCAAGTATCCTTGCAGCTACATTGGGGGCACTGGCAAGCTTTCTTCTCTTTGCATTCATCAATGTCTGTAAAGATGAAACAGAAGTTCAACTTCAGATATTCATTTATTTATTTATCTTTTCAGTCATGCAGAAAAAAATCACAAGATATCATCAAGTTCACAATGCTTGTTAAAACCCATGGACTACGAAGACTCCACACTTACTTAACCGGTGATATGAATTTAAATATCGGTTTATATGAGTACGATATACATAGATGCAAACGTTTACTTACTGAGACTGCAATATGTCTCTCTAATCAAACAAACTCAGAGCATGTTACATATTATGCATAAAAGAGGGAGGAAGACAATTTTGACCCAGGTTCCTGCATTAAGTACTAACTGTTAAGTCATAATATAAAACAGTCCCATTAATATTTCATACATAGTTATAGAAATTCAAAAATGAACATAATCACTCTTTTGATTAATAAAAGTATAATAAACAGAATCCAGGACTCCATTCATGGTGAATATAGTATTTATCATGCTGATCAAGATAACTACCTCAATAAGCTACAAGGATCCCATTACTACTTCACAGACATTTATAGAAGACATTCAAGAATGAACATATCCACTCACAATTGCTATAAGTATTAAAAACAGAATCCAGGATTCTATTCATGGTGTGTATAGTAATTACCATGCTGATCAGATAACTCAATAAGCTACAAGGATTTGCTGCAGGAAAAAAAAAAATAGTGACAGAAATAATATATGTATCCCTAACCTTCACAGTTTTTGACACCATCACCTCTAAACCCTGTAGGACACCGGCATTTAACACCTCCATCATCCTGTTCCCACAACAATTTATGCAAGAAATCAGTTTCTAATATGGGGTTTACAAACCAACAAAACTTCAACCATTAAAATAAAAGTTTATTGGAGATAAAACGAGTGGAGTTGGGTCAAGAAACATAATAGTTACTAACTGAACAAGCAGAAAATGCATGTCCATTCCTTGCATCATGCCAACAGCCTCCATTGTTTATATTGCAACGCCCAGGCCCACTGGCTGCAAACCGAGAAGAAACTAGTTATATGAACCTATGAATGCACATGGAATAAAAAGAACCACGAATGTTCTACAACTAAAGGATCACCACACTCTGTTATGCACAGCATAGAAGTGAAGGCAATAAACATGAAACAGTGATAGCAAATCCTCTTCGAAGTAAATTATGCAGACAGAAAAGTAAAGTTTAAAGCATTTTAACCTTCACAAGTTGTATAGCCATCTCCTTTGAACTGCACACCATCAACAAGTGGGCATTCACATACTCGCCCTCGGAATGTATCCTAAGGAGATATACACATATGTAAGAACATAGAAAACTATAAACCAGCATTGCTCTCTCATTAGATAGTTGTTTTCACACAGATAAATACCTTGCATGCAGTGATGTTAGCTGCTTTATCCTGCCAACAACCACCATTGTTCGTCAAGCACTCATTTGTCTCCACATCTGCCCAGAAAAGTATGCGCCTCAGAATCAGGCCCAGGACCAACAAATCTATTAAGTATGTTTCCCTTGTACCAAAAGAAAGTAAATATTTACCCCTGCTCAAACAAACAGCTGGTTCAGTAGTTTCCTCAAACCCAGAACAAATAGCCTTTAGAACAGCACCTTTCTCCAATTTTCCTGTAAAGACTCCTTTTAGAATTGGAAATCCAGATCGCTACCTATCAAACAAGCATACTATACAAACCTCGATATTGTCGATTATTGACAACAAGAGTGGGCAATATCGTAACATCACCTCGCGATCCCTTCCCAATCTACAAAAATTAAATTTGTTAAGCATCTATATATAACAATCCTGATACAACGAATTAAATGTAACAAACTAATAGCAATTATAAAAGACAAATACTTGGGCATCTTGCTCTTCTTTCAAAACAGGATTTTCAGTATCGGCATTTGGATCTCCCATGCACTTTTCAATCTTTTCAATATCAAGACCTGCAGATATTGAATTAACATATTTGAAAAGTCTTTACCAACCACCGCAAGAAAACATAATAAGCACTAAGCAATGACGATTCACTCACCCAGTGATTTAATGACGGCATCTGCACATTCCTTATTGTACTTTTTCTCACTCATTGGGCATCTAATTTGAAAATCAGTGACATAGTCCCACCACACCCAAGGCTTTGTGGTTTCATTAGCCACCTTGAAAACACATAGCTGCCTTAAATTTTCAATAACCACATCTTTCCCATCATAACCCGTGCTGAAGTCCTGCTCAGGATCCGGAGCACAATATCTTCCATGATTTATGCATTGGGACTTGCATTGTTTGCTTAATGTGAATGCGTGAGGACAGTACCAAGTTATATAATGGGGTGTAAACTGAGAGTAACCACCTTTCTCAAGAATCTGTGCTGCACCCTTGAAATCCTTCACAAATTCCATCAACATATCACATTTAACTCCACACTCATCATTGCTATTGGTCCACAACTCGTACTCCACGCGAGCATCTGGGTGCGGGACAGCCTCTCTCCAATCAAGATTTACATTGACCATGTCCCCGCCACTTATGGCATCCTTCAATTTTTCACCAAAACTTTTTCCAACAAGAGCAGATGGTATTGTTATGTTCTCTATGTATTTTGCAGATGATCCATCCTCTTCAGGAGTGTCCATAGTTATTAAGGGTTCCTCAATATCATCTGCAACAAGAACCGCAGAAGCCCCGGCCTTCTGGGCATTCCAGACCTTCAAAGCAAAGAAGCAATCTGCAAAGGAATACAACAAACCACAAAGAACACAACCATGAGATAACATTTCAAGACTAGGTCATACGTATAGGGCCACAAGCATGTGTAAAACCAAAATCAAGAATTCAAATTTCTAGGAATTCAACTATCTAAAAAACCTAACGACATCTGTTTAAGTATCAAACCATTCAAATAAACTAATGGGACAACTATAGGGTTTTTTTTTTTTTTTTCTTTCGTTCAAAAAGAAAGAAAAAAGCAAATGTTCATCTGACGAGTAAATCAAAATTAATTAAGAGTATAATTCTTTGTTAGCAAGACAATCAATGAAGTGAAGTGAGTAAGCAAACAGGAAGAAGCATATTCTCCGAGGCTTAACAAAAGCAGCCAACTTTAGCTGAGTAACAAGAAGAAGAATGAATCGATGAGATCATCTTAAAATCAAAGCATAACATGAAAGAAGAAAATAGAAGAAGAAGGGAAGCAAGAAAATAAATAATAAAAATCTCACTTCCGCGATCGAGCAAAACGATGGTGGGAAGAGCACCAGGGCGTGATTTGAAGGAAATCCCAGAGTCATGGAACTCTTTACAACCCTTCTTGTTATCTTTGGGGTACACCACGTTCCCGGCCATGCTACCTCCGTATTGAGGTATCCCGAAGTTGCCAATAGCACTATCGTGTCTGCCTTTGATTTTCTCCGGCGACGTCACCGACAAGCTGTTCTTCTCCACCACGAATCTCGCCATTGACAACGGCAACAACACAAACCCCACAAACAAACTCACTGTCACTGACCATCTCCAAACCTTCATTTTTCTTTTTCTTTTCCCTTCAGGGAAGTTGAACTGAACTTCAAAAGGGTTTTGCTTTGGGTGTCAATTATTCTCTCTCTCTCTCTCTCTCTCTCTCAGTTTCTACTTAACACTCGAAAATTGAAATTTTGTTGGGTAAAAAGTGGCAAGTGTTGTAGTTTCACAAAAACATAAAACATCATAAATCTCTCTGATTTAGATTATAAAACATGAGCAAAACATCTCTGTGTAGGAAATTTGGTTTTTCCTAGTCATCCTTCGATTTTCTTTCCTTTTTTTTACAGCATTTTTTTTTAATAGTTGTGAACCATACAATATATGTCTGTAGTGTATAGAACGAAAATTTCTCCGGTGTGACAAATGAATTGAATTTTCAGGGTATCTTTCGTTCACGATATAACATATGTCTTATTTTTATCAAATTATTTAAATATAACAATGATTTAATAAAAATAACACACGTGTTGTATTAGGAATAAAAAATACATTAAAAATTCAATACATCCATATCAATCACTTGAGATATTTTCGTAACCAAAACGAGAAAATCGAAACCATAAAACATATGTCTGTGTTGACTGCTGAGTCTGGAGTCCACTGAGGAGACCTTCTGACACTTAATCCACCCACTCTTCCAACTCATTATTACGAAACTTTAAATACAAAATGAAACTTAATTATTGAACCCCAAAAATATTGCCTTTTATGTAAAATAAGTAAACATTAATTTTTACAAGTTAATGAAATCATAGGAAAACAAGGAAAAGTGGAAAACCCAATGAACAATAAATTTCTTTTTGATTCGCACCAGAGAGGAGAATAGAATCCGTAATAAAGTGGCTATTTGCAAAAGCAAATAAGGGTCCTTTTCTTTCTTTATAAAAAAACGAAAAAGACTATAGCAATTCTTAGAGTAGTATCCAAGCATAAAAGTGGAGAAAATTATGTTATATTAAGAAGGATTTAATGTTTGTGCAGATAGAAGCATATACTCCTTAAGAGTAAACAAAATGTCATTGTTTATCAAGTTTTTTATTTAAATGTCACGCGAATTGTAAATAATTTTGAAATACATCACTCCAAAAGTTAGCTCAGAGAGTGGGAGTGCCCAAGGCCCTTATAGAGGCCACATTAGTTGCATATCCAACCAATGTGGGACTATATATCTCAACACGCCCCCTCACACGAGAGTCCATTGGGCTTGAAGAGTGGATGATGTAACATGCCCAGTCTACCTGTTAGGGGTGTTAACGAGCCGAGCTTTGGTCTTAACGGGCTGAGCCTGTGTTCAAATGTGTCAGACTGGCTTTAGCCTGTTACCTGTTACGAATATAATATCAGCCTGTGACCTGGCTCATTTACAAAAAATAAAAGTCTGGTTTAGCATGTTAGCCTATTTTAAAAAAACAAGACAACAAAAATGTACCCAAACAAAATCTACAATCAATAGCACTAGTAATTCCATAAATATTCATAAATTTAATGTATATCCAAATAGCATAATATAAAATAAAATCATTCAAAAAGTCTGTTTAATTAATAAAATGGGATGAAATGAATTGAGAAGAGAGAGAGTGCTATCACAAGTAGTATAAAAAATATAAAAAAAATATATTAGGCAAGCCTGAGAGGCTCTAAGGCCGAGCTTTTGAATTGGAGCCTGAGGCCTTTTTATTAAACGAGCTTTTATACAAGTCCAAGCATGGATCCAACAATCAATTTTAGACATGTAAGCTCAGGTCTTCACGAGCCGAGGCAAAGGCCCATTAAGGCCTCTGGCTCGTTTAGCACCATACTACCTGTGCTAAGAAATTCTACAAGTGGGAGGCGACTACACCACTCCAAAAGCTAGCTCAAAGGTTGGGAGTGTCTAAGGCCTTATAAATTCCACATTAGTTGCACATCCAACCAATGTGGGACTATATATCTCAACACGAACAGTGTTATTTTTTCAATATGTCACGTGGACAAGTTCGTTGGACACTGTAGCGAACTCAGTTTGCTGATGTGTCACATTTTTAGTGGACACCAAATTCGCTACACGGGGTAGCGAACTTGGTTGGAATACAATGTAGCGAACTTGGTACCTTTTTTTTAAACTTTATACTTGTTATCCATTAGAAACGTGACACGTCAGTAAACTGAGTTTGCTACAGTGCCCAACAAATTTGCTCAAATGACATATTGAAAAATAACACTATTCACGTGATATTTAGATAAAAAAATTGATGAATAATAACATTTTGATCGATGTTCCGATACTCCTTCACCTAAAGTAATAAAATGTGTCATTACTAATAAAGAAGGGGTAGTAACTAGTAAGTGATTCACCGAGAGAATTCAGTATTGCTAGAGTATCAAAAATGTTTGGTTGATATTTAGAGTAATAAAAATTAATTCTGCAAAGGGTAAAATAACTTTTTGAAAAAATTGAAAATTTTAATTTTTTTGCTGAGTGGAAGCAGATTTATTAAAGTTTTAAAAAAATACATACATTAACACTTCGAAAAGTGATTCTACTTTACCATCTAAATTAAATTAAATCTTTTAAACTCACATTTAAAACATTATCAATAAGCATAAATTATTTATTATTAAATATTTTAATGTTATTAAAAATTATTGGTTTAAGGGACAAATATTTTATTTTTCTTATTTAGTATATCTAATACTAAATGTTAATAACTTTTTTCTATATTACTTTTACATAATTACATGCAGAAAACATTTCATAGCAAAATATGTGCAGCAGGCTCCTGGGATGACACGTTACAGCCACTACCCATTTGACAAGTGCAATGAATGACTCACTCCGACCAATCCGATGAAGAGAAATAATTTTTTCTTTCTTTCTACCAAGGAATTTTTGTGCTGTATATTTTTAGTTTATTACTTTATAATTATTTCAGAGTATTTTTTTACATGCAGACAAGAAATTATTCTTTCTAGAAATTATTCTTTCTAGAAATTATTCTCGAACAACTTTTACTTATTTATACCAACACACACTGGTATTTTACAAAAATATATTTACTCATACTGTAAAAGGTAAATTTAGATATTAAGTTCATAAATAAATATAAATTGAGCCCATATAAAAAAATCATTAACAATGATATAAAAAAAAAATTGGAACAGTAATAAATTTTATAAAAAAATTTGAAGTTTTTTGAATGATCCACATTTAGTATATGGTTGAATTAGTTTTATTCTAAATTTAAAATAGTTTGTGTAATAAATCCTGGAAAAATAATTATTTCTTCTAAAATAATCAAATTCATCTATCCTCTTAGATAGTGCTTGGTAGAAGATTTATTTTGGATTGATGGGAAAGTGTAAGTGGATATTGGAAAATATCACGTTTGGTTCAGGTTTTTGAAAAAAAATACTAGGCAAATAGGATAGATGGAAAAATGACTTTTGTGTTGATTTTTGGATGAAATTCACTTTTACAGAATACCACTTGAGATGTGATATTTTGAGATGAAAAACCAGGTGCGAAGTTTATCCCGAACATAGATTTTGCAAATTTAAATAAATTTTCCTGATAATATTTTGGTCAACCAAACAACTCTTTTTACGTTTTTCTACCAAATTCACTTTCCAACCATTTTTCTAGTAATTATATTTTTCTAGTATTCAAAAAATTTCTCCTCAATCAAACGCTCCCTTAGATATTTCTTGGAAGAGAAGACAAAAAAAATAAAAAATACATATTATGTGCGGCGATAATCGCGTGGCTTATATATCCGTCAATGGGTCTACTATGACATATTTTGTCTGCGAGATATATACATTGATTCCATTTTCATTTGGTAGTTAGACCGTGGAATTATTTTTGTTTCCGTATTTCTGGAATACGAGATAACGAATAAATCAATGGGTACATTTTTTTTTAAAAAGAATTTTTTTTTTCAATGTTACGGAAAAAAAAATTAAAAGTGATGAAAAAAATTTCAAATATAAAAAAAAAATGTATTGAGTTGGATACATGTATTCGTACTTTTATTTTTAAAAAATACCGTATTGTATTAAAAAAAAAATATGCCAAGTAATAAAGCTATATATTAAAAAATAACAGTTGTAAGAGTGAGGATATTCTAACTACCAAAAACTCTTACTACTAACTAGGGGTGTTAACTGATAGAGAAAAATTAAGATACAGAAATATAACTCACAATGTTTGAAGAGGGAATACAACTCAAACTTAATATAAACCAGAAACTAAAACTGAAGAACATAACATTAAGAGACACATTACACCCAAATAAACTCTAACTTAATGACTCATTATACTACCCAAAACTGACTCATTATGATACCGTTAAGACTCATCAAACAACTTTAGTGCAGCACATGGCCGTTACATCAAACTTAAAAGACCATTGAATTTTCTAACGGACAAAAAACAAAGAGACTCTAACATTCCCTCCCTTAAAGTGATGTTCTTGAAAAAATCAGTTTACTCCAAATCCTTTGACTTTCTCCATGGAACACATGCCAAGTAATCCCCTGAGCTTTTGAAACGCAACATATTTGAGAGGCTTTGTAAACAAATCAGCAACTTGATCCTCACTTCTACAAAAAATAAGATCAATTATACCAGCCTTTGTAAGATCCCTTAAGAAATGATACTTCACATCTATATGCTTGCTTCTCCCATGTAAAATTGGATTCTTTGACAATTTAATTGCAGAATTATTGTCACAATAAATTAAAGTTGCTCCTCCTTGCTTAAAGTGAAGTTCTTCAAGAATTCTCCTTAGCCAAATGGCTTGGCATGCACAAGCTGTAGCAGCAACAAATTCAGCTTCTGTGCTTGACAAAGTGACAATTGGTTGCTTCTTCGATGCCCAAGAAATAGCACCTGTACCAATCATAAAAACATAACCTGATGTGCTCTTCCTGTCATCTTGATCTCCTGCATAATCACTGTCAGTAAATCCCACTAAATCAGATTTTACACCCTTCTTGTAAAATATCCCGAAAGTTCTTGTTCCTTGCAAGTAGCGAAGGATTCTCTTGGCAGCCAACAAATGTATTTCTGTAGGATTTTCCATATACCTGCTAATTAAACTCACAGAATACATTATGTCTGGTCTTGTTGCAGTGAGATACATCAAACTTCCCACAATTTGTTTGTAGAAGGTGTTG